TCCTGCATGGCGCGGACCCCCCCCCCCCCCCCCCTGCCAATAGAACTAGTACCCCCATTGGAAGAATTATACAATTTTTTTGTTCTTGTGACAACTCCAAAAATGTTGTTTTTTCCCCTCACTTTCAGCAATGGCCACAATGACAAACGGGATGAATTTCGCCAGTGGGGACGAATACAATAAAAGTCTGATCATGGCCAGCGGTAGCAGGGTTACTAGTAATATTTCCTAGGGTTCAAATTCTATGCAACTCTGCTGCAAACCTAAAAGTCTGTTTTAATTTATTTTGGTTTACAATGCTATCAGACTAACACGGCACAAAGCTGAACTCTGTCGAAATAGCCAATTCCAGAGTTGAAACACATACTTGCAATGCTGTTCAGCTAATCGTGTGATCCACATAATACTATACATTTATCATATATTTGAAGATGCACGACACCATCCGTGGTTACTACAGCACCCTCCTTTATACATAGGGGTCCCGGTAAGGCGTGCAGCAGTTCCTCTCCAAGATCCACATAATCCCGTCACACTGTATAGCCACAAGAATGATATTGCTCTCTCTAATGACAGATTAGGAACACAGCTAGGGGCATAACCACAATGATATCATCTCTCCCGTCCCGTAAGCAGGCTCCCAGCACCTGAACTCATTTAATTGTACAATACAATAGAACATGATTGTCTTACAGTACTGACCTATGTTCCGGTAAGTAGGGTATAATAAATAGCCATAAGGACAGGTATGCATTTAACTGAATTACAGGACTTTTACAATACATTTGCCAACTATTCAATGTACACATAAAGTCCTGTCCCCCACAATCTTTTTGGAGCACATCTCTACACTCTCTGCACCAAGCATTTACAAAGCTACACCCTAGCCCAGCAAGATGAATGAACTTGCCTGATTGGCACAGCCTTTCTTCCAGACATAGCCCATCTTTTCGCATTTATCCTTCAGATTATTATAAGTATTTTCGGCATTAACATTGGTGAAGAACCGGGTCATCCTTTTCACTAAACGTTGCCATGGGTTCTGTAAGAGTTTTAGGTTTCAGTATTATAAAATAATAAAACGGACAGAGATGGAAAAAAATTTCAGGCAGATACGACGAAAAAGAGAAGGAAGTAATGACTACACAACGTGAAATAGGAGAATTGTTAGAAGATGACGTTGGGTTTACCTGGGAGGCGCCAGGAGTGCCCATCAGTTGGCTGCTTAGCAGCATGTTTTCTGGACAGGCCGGCTGAGAGAAACTGATTCCTTTACCCTGCACCAGGCTGTCTATATTCGAGGAGCTACTGTCCCAGGACGGGAGGGCTGTGCGAGGCTCAGGCTGTGTGCTGGAATGCGTCGTCTTCTCATCACTGCATAGCAAAGCAACAGGTTTGGTTACTGGATTGTAAACTAGTGAACTCTTGAAAGTGAAGGGGAACAGTATGGAATACTACATCCAAAATAGTACACAGGATCACTACTTATAGTTAACATTTCATCACTTATAAGACCTTTAACGGTTTAATCTGCAGTCAACACAATAATAAACAGATAAGGACAGAAAATACATGGCAATTATTTAGCTTCTATCACACAGAATAATGTCAGTACAGTACACAGGCTAAAAATACCTTTGTGTAAAATTGTACACTTTTTTTTTTATAGTAATACATTATGGACTAGCAGGAGATAAAGCATCCAACACCAAGGGACCCCAGGTGGAGGAAAAGAAATATCAGAGGTAACAGGGAGGTAAGATAATACACATCTTCCATACCTGAGCCGTGCTGGTGCTTTGAAGACCGGTATCCGCAGTCACTGCAAGCTGCAGAGGTAACCCAGGATCCATGTCTGCAGAGCCTGTTGAAGAGAAGCCTGCCAGCGTTTCCTCTCAGTCACTACTGAGATCCACGCTGTATTAAGCACCAGCCGAGCCCTCCCCTTCCTCCTGCGCCGAAAACGAGGCTTGGAACGCACAAGCCCGGCGCCCGGAAATGACGTCACCCACGCCGGAAGTGACGTACGCGGCCACCCGGCCTGGCCGTGGAACACGTCCCGAGGCCCTGAGAACCGGACAGACCCCTCTGAACGGCGGTCCACCGCTTCCCCTGACCAGCCAAGGGGGTTTCGCCCTCCCGGTACCGGCCCGCACTGGGCACTGAAGGGGGAAAGGAAGCCAGCCTCATCTCCTGCAGCGCTAGGAGAATCCCTGGGGCTCCACAAGGTAGGCAAACCTACCCCTCTGCCTTACACAGGCAGGCCAACAAGGAAGACTTCCCGGGCAGCATCACCACATGGAAGCCCTCTCTCAGCGTTCTGTGACGCGCTCCCCAGCTTGACTGAGGAAACACAAAAGACTGAGGGAGTGGAGGAGAGGAGGGTCTTTTAAGCAGATTAAGTGACGTGTTTCCTGTGTGTGGGGGAGGAGATTCCATCTCGTGATGCTGTCCTGGAAGACGTTATGGGAAAAAAAAAATCAACCTCGCAAGCCTAATTGCATGGGCAAAGCAGCTGCATTCTTCCCTATAGGGCACAGAAAGTGTGCTGCCTTTACTGGAATTAAAATGGAAATAAACCTTAAGGGCCTGTTCACATGACGCCCGTTTTGTGTGCTGACCTGATCCGTACGCTGCTGCACTCAAAATGCATCCCAATGTATCCCTATGTGTTTTATGGGCTACAGTTCTCACGTGCGCATTCCGTTCAGGTTACGACAGAAAAATACTGCATGCCACATTTTGTACGGTCAGGAAACGCAAACGCGTCAAAAAACGCACTGCACTGCAGCTAAAATACTCACAGCCCCACTCCAGCCAAAAAAAGAACCAAAACATTTTTTTATTTTTTTTACTGAACGCATCAAAAACGCACTGCATCAGTCTGCAGATCCGCACTTGATCAGGACCTGATATCATGTGAACAGGCCCTCAGAGAGAAAGAAAAATGAGCCCAGGACCTTTTTGTCACTATATACAAGTATGCCCAGCATATTTGCACATTATCACACTTACTTAGCTGGCATCACCGCACCAGCACTGCAATGTCCATACTGCCCTCCATCTTTACCTGGTCTTTTGTCATCTTAAATATGCAGGCCCGGGAGGACTCAACTCCTGCACATATGCACAGGAGTTACTTTATCCCAGTACAGAATTATGCCAAGACTGTACACCGAGCTGCAGGTGACATACAGTCTCTTCTTTAATAAAAAGTCTACTTGTCAGCCATTTAAAAAAAAGGACTTTTACTTTCCCTTTGGGTTCTGGAGCCATAGGGAAAAACTTGTCAGAAACACATTTCACCCCCCTCCTGTCTCCTCTATGGAGAAGTTTGTGCAGCTAATGCGCTGGTCCTCCACACAAGCTGGCCTGTGTGACCTGGGCTTTATTGTACTGCAGGTCAGCAATCACGTATCTCATACTATAGTATGAAATACACGATATATGTGACATACGTACTTACATACATATAGCCATGTACTATAGTATGAAATACGTGACGTACGTACATATAGCTATGTACTATAGTACATAGGAGTCGTAAAAAGGAGGTGTACACACTGTACATTATACAAATCATGTGCAGTAAACAGCACAAGCAAATGTAAGCCAAGAGAAGTATTTAAATTCCATCCTTGGTGAGAATTCACACCTTTGTGCTTTCATCGAAAAATGCTCCTAAAACAAAAAAGGTTATTAAAAGAAGCACTGGCCTGTGTGAGAGATGAAACCTGTCCGCATCACTACGAATGTGTTTACTGAGAACTTCAGATGTTTCGGTTGCACCTCCGGAGCATAGCCGCTGTCTTTTTACACCAACTGGGAGAAAACAAAATAAAAACAGTTGTGAGAAATCTGCTTGTTCAGAAACTCACCAAATACAGCAAAAGAGTTATATTACATAGACAATATGTAGTCAACAATCGCGCAACTAAAGTCACCCGGCATAGGCATTGAAAGGCCAGTGGTTTATTTGGTGAAGGCATGATACAATGGGAACCCTGGGGTGCAAGTAATTGCGGGTGATTGTTATGCAGCTGAACTACAATTAGCCACCATCCTAGTTGATTACTAATCGATTTTCTTGTGCATACTTATTTGGGTGTGTGTCTAAGGAAATAAAGACAAAGCCCTTCATCAGTGCAACCAGTCCCATGAAGCCTCTGGGGCTACACACTCAGGACTTCCACATACATTGGAGGCTTAATAGCCTTGCACCGTATGTGATGACGCCGAGAGCATCAGGGAGAAGATGCGAGTCAAATCTGGGAAAGGCAATATTTCCTCTTTGTACCCCTAGACCTAAGAAGCAACGGGGGGAGACTACAAGGGGTTTTCTGTCTTGTGCCCTGAAGTCAAATTAACAAATGCCGTAAATTACCATAAAATCCTTTTCTCAGAGTACAGTGAGGGACACGGCTCTGAAGAATCTGATAATTAGGGTTATGCTTCTGATGCTAGTTTTGGCAGACAAGTTCTTCAGGCAGCCATTTAAATATGTGTTTTCATTATTATTATTTTTAACTAGTTCTTTTAGCGGTTATGGAGCCAACCCCTTCGTTTGGACTGCTTTAGAACATACCCACCTATACAATTCTTCAGGAGCTGTGACCCTCAATGGACAATAGAGAAAATAGGATTTTGCTCCTAGCATAAAATCCATTTCTCCGAGTCCATTGAGGGACACATCTCCCTCCCGACATTTCCATGTGTACTGCTTGCTTCAGCTGGCGGTTGTGAGGTGGAAGGGGACTATGTCCTTAACGCGACAGGCTTTTTCATTTTTTTGTTGCCTAGTGTCCAATTCTCCTAGTGGTAGTGGCAAAACCCTAGTATCAGATTCCTCAGAGCTGTCCCCCTCATTGGATGATAGAGAAACTAGACATTAGAAGTCAATGTCTCCATTCTACTAGTTTGCAAAACTTATCCATAGTCTCCTAACTCGAGGATATTAAAAGCAGACACTACTCGATGAGAAAACATACGCCTCAATTTACAAAACCTCAAGCAAAAGCATAAGGCTAATTTAGCCAAGTTACTGTAGTTTTTAAATCTCAGTGGATTCAAATAACTCTATCCTGGTGCGTTAGCCTTGTGAACTGAGCCAATAGGGAGATAAAAGTCATCCATGTTTTTTGCCCCACCATGTGAACAAAGGGTCTGATCTCCACAGCGGTCTGCGTCAGCCCAGATGAGAAACAAAACCCACGTAACCCTTTACCTTTCTTCAGGGGTTTGGTAAGCCAACGGTCTTTCTTGAGGTCTGGAATAGTAATTCGAGTACTGGGGGTTTCTGTTAGGAGTTTACACAGCAGCGCTAGGAAAAGAAAGACAAAAAATGCCTGAAAATGTCATACTGCCAGCAAATAAAAAAAAGGCACTCTAAGAGGAAACAGACGATAAATTTAAAAAAATGTTTTTACCCAGCCATAATAAATGGATGCACCAAGGCGCCTGACATAAAACCAGAGTTACAATGAAATCAGGTTTAGAATTTCATGATCCAACTTTCAATTTTCAGCGCAGCTTTGAATCTGATCGGTTCTTCTCTTATATATTTACAAAAAAACCAAGCATTCGGACTGGCATTTATCCCTCCCTGACCGAAATGCTGCACAATCTCCCTCGCACAGAAGAGAGCAGCGGAGGAGTGAATCCTCGGTAGTCTGGCCAGTGAGGAAGCTACTCCACAGAGGCAGGTGCCTGTTCTTTGCCCTCCTAGCGATCCTGTTGCTCTCAAGTTGCCATCAAGTTGGCTACAGTCCCAAAAGTTTGTGCCGATTTAGTTCCTCGAGAACTGTTTTTTTGGGCAGCTGATTAAACATTAAAAGAGTTGGAGTTAAACCAGATTTCAGCTATAAAAACTGAGTATTCCAGAATATTTGTAATCCAATACATAGAGCAGATTTTTGTTTGCAGAGAAGGTTACAAGACAAAATGAACAAAGAAAAAGCTGACTACCAAGAGGCAAGGAATCAATCTTTTTCCATGGATTGAGGTAGTGTTTTGTCTCCTTCCAGTCACAATATTCTTGACATGCATCGTTAGGCTGATCCCATGGCAGCTCTACAATACAAGATCACAGAGAAATGTATGAAACCAATGAATAAATACCAAAAAAGAAAAAAACAATATTTCAAAGAAGACGGCATCTAGTACATGTAAATAGATATTTTGTAGTAGAGGATAAGACCACGTTCACGCCGGGGTGGTTCGGCCATCCGAACTGCTCCCTGCACCATTTTTGAAGTGCTGATCAGTGCAGTTTCCAAGCGCTTTCAATGGAGCTGCGTTTCAGCGCTGAAACGCAATGAAAAACTCAAAAAAACCTCAATTTTGAGATAAGGACGGTAACCGCTGATCCTCAACCGCCCTGGTGTGAATGGGCTCTAAGAACAGCATTTTTTTTCTTATACATCTGTTAGCAGGCAACATAAAAGACTTCAGAGTGTAAACATATCTGTTGATAACATCACTTATACCTGACCAAGGTGTCCTGTATTCATGAAGGTGAATACTTAATTAGTGGCTTGGAGTGATGGCTACTTTACATTACTCACAGGGATCATGGGGAGCAAAAGTAGCCCCCCTCCAGAAGGAAGGACAATGTCATCACCAATTCAGAGATGATTTGAGGATCTACAGCCGAGTGATACACAAATAAGGACCAGTATGGTTTTTAAGATTTAACGCCTGAGTTTAATGTCCCTTTAAGTATGCTTATTATACATTGCAGAGGTAGGTCAGATTGTACCTGGAGCAGCATAAATCTCGTTTAGGGCCAAAAACAGGACATTTCCTTTTGGAGTATTTTTTTTTAATATATATCTTTACATACAATTTTACATCTTGTACTATTTTGAACACAAATCCCAAAGTTGCATATTTTTTTTACTAAGGCACATAAATTGCGCAGTCTTTACTAGTTTGATAAATGTTAACACTTTTCTATGGGAAACCCACCATACCCTTTCCATGTGCTATGTTGGTCTACATTACCTCCAGCTAACATTGCTGTCAGGACAATCCCACAAGACCAGATGTCCACGGGTTCAGCATGGAAGGCTCGCAGCTTTATTAGCTCAGGTGCTACATAGGGCAGTGTCCCACACATTTTATTCAGGAGACGCTCCCGCCCGTTATGTCTGAAAACGGTGGCCAAGCCAAAATCTGAGATCTTTAGCTGATCTGAAAAATACAAAACAACGGCTACTGAGCCACGGAAATCACACAGGAATATACATCCTAAAAGGATGAAGTAAATACCACGGGCTAGTTATTGACTTCAGTGACAATACAAAAAGGAGTTTTTCGAAAGCTCAGAAGTTTGATTTTTTGTTGTTGTTTTACTGTAAACCCAACCAAATAAAAAATAACCCAGTTCCACAACATATTTCAGAAAAAGTCAGATTGCATTAAATCAAAATGTAGTGAATTAGCATTATTTTTCCCAAGGTGCAAAGGTTAGCAAACACCTTAATGAACAACCCGCTTGAGTGCTAACACACTACTTGTAATGTGTGTACCATAGGAAGGTTATATTTCCTACCTCTGTCATCCAGAAGCAAGTTTTCAGGTTTTATATCGCGATGTGTAATTCCAAGACCATGAAGATATTCCTAATAGAATAATTACAAGGTCACAAGTTAGCAACATTAGATATAAAGAAAGACCTCACGGGACACAAAACAGAGCAAAATGTGAAGAACTGCACAATTGCATTTCAGACAAAGAAAAAAAAAAAAAAATCTAACATGCTGCTTTATACTTTAACAAGACCTCAAAATGTGCAGTGAATCTCTTACTAGGAACTAAGAAAAAACAAAAAAAAACGTAAAGACAATAAAAGGGCTATATACCATAGGAAGACAAGAACTATTACTGCCTCGTGCTGTGAAGACAGAGCTTATACCCCAGAGGTCAGCTGTGTCCCCAAAACAATAAAACTAATATTCTATTATAACATGTCAATAATGTGCATATAAAACCAACAAATGAAGCAGGTAAGCTTCCCTTACCACGCCAGCAATGAGCTGCTGAAAGAACTTCTGCGCCTCCTGCTCTGGCATGCCGACATCTGGCTCTAGGACAGATCACAAATGCAAAATATTACCAACACAGATACATCAATTCACAAGAAAAACTGTGTCTTAAAAAGGGTCCCAAATGTTACTCGATTTCTGCATCATAGTGACTTGCCATTAACAGTTTCCTGTTGATCTTCCTTTCCTGGGTGACAACATCTGCTCATTTCAGCTGCAGCACTGTAACCCTTTGCTGCAGGCTTTCGAGTCGAGTTACAAGCATGTAATCCTGTTTTCCTTACAGTACTTTACAAAACTGGGTTTTCTTTTGAGAGAATGTAACTCTACTTTAAGTAGAAGCCTAGACTAAGATCACATTGTCTCTGGCTACCAGGAGTATTGTGGTCGTCTCATCACTGGAGACTGGTAGCGAGAATTATTTTTAAATCAGACTTGCAGTACACTTCCATAGTGGATCAGCAAGGCACAAGCAGGAAATAAAGGGGTTAGATACCATAAACACACATTGATAAAATTGTTTACATTAAAGCGGACCTTTACGCTCAAAAATCAAAATCTACCAATGTATTCCTCTATATATGATGATTTATACCCTAATCGTGTCAGGTGCAAAATGCTATCATTATGATGTACTTGCAGACCATTCACTTCCTGCTTTGAAAAAATGAATAGTGGTGCACTGTCAGAAGGGGGTGTGGCCGTGGAACCTCGTGAAGCTGCGCAAGAACTACGCTCGATGACGGGAGACGAAATACAGGAAAGAGGAGTGTTTGCCCTCTTCAAACATGGCCGCCCACTACATTCCAGGACCGAAAGTCAAACTTAAAAAAAAAGTAGTATTTTATAAAATAACAAAAATATAGCGTTTTAAAATTTGTTCATTTGGGTTATTGCATACTAATGCATTTGGGATTTTTTTGTAATTAGAAATGTCATATTGCCATGTAAAGGTTTGCTTTCAGGGGATCCCTTTTACAGGCATGAACTTAAAAACTCCAATACGCAGCTCCTCTAAGATCACATATTGCAAGGATAGAGCAGAGACATCTACTTACTTTCAATTACCGTGTTTTGCGCTCTATAAGGCGCTCCGGACCATAGGACGCAGGGGTTCTGTGACAGCTGTAGTTAGTCACAGCTGAGACAGGTGGCGCTGTGATTACAGCGCCACGGTCTCAGTAATCACACAGGACAAAGAACGGACGTTCTTAGTCTACTCTAGGGGCTCTATGGTAAGCTCCTATGCCGTGGTCACGGGTCCCCCAGAGGAGCTGGGGACCCCCGAAAACCACGGCGGGGGGCAGACACAATCGCCGCCGCTCGTTTTGATACAAGTGATCTAACTAGATCACTTGTATTAAACGAGCAGCGGCTCCCACTGTACATTTAGCTCTGTTTGTCCGGAGCAGGGCTGAATGTACAAAAAAAATACTCGCCCAGCGCCCAAACTGCATGTCCCGGGCGTAGGGATTCGCTCCATAAGACACACACACACACACATTTCCCCCCCCCTTCAGGGGGGGGGGGGGG